AAAGAGTGTCTGAGACTGATGTGTGATTTGGGTTATTTTATGTTTAATTTTTTTTAAAGCATAAATCATATATTATTAAAAGTTAAAAATGCATGTTTTAAAAGGTTTTATTTTGACATGGAAGAGAGCTAATTTTTCATTAATATAATTTAAACTAATTTTCTGTATTTAAAAAAAGAATAACAATGTCATTAAAAAATAATAATAAAGAAAAGAGAGAGAAGAACATATATCAGAGCAAAGAAATTCCCAGAAATCTTCGTTTGGTCATATTGTATGCTTTAACACATGTTTCAGTAACATTGATATGAAGCAGAATTCCAGCAAAGAAAAAGCTGCAAAAAGATTCAAAATCTTCTATGAGATAATTCATCTTTAATGCATAAGTTAAATCATAGATTGAGTAAACCATAGAGTAGCAGGCATGATGGACTTGATTGTGTGTTCATCCTGTCTGTAGAGTACAAGTGCTATGAATTTAAACAGGCCTCACCATTATGTAATACTAATAAAATCACGACAAATAGATGATGATGTCCAAGAAAACTTGTTTTATATGCTTGAGTTTCATGACCTCAATTGATCCCGGGTAGCAGAGCAATTACCAGTAATGTTATCTTCATCTCCCTTTTGGATTGACAATCTGAGAGAAGATTTCCCCAGAGTCATCTGATCCTGCAGTCTTTTCGCTATTGCTTCCGAGGCTGAGATTGCTATAATGCATTTCCAAGTTGCGGTTTCTTAGACTCTCTTCAGAAGTTTCACTTCCCTCACCTTTTGAGCTATGCTTTGAACCGTCAGGGTTGTCCTGCAGTTGGAGCGACAATTCAAGATTCCATAGGACATCACCCATGTTAGGGCGTTCGGGTCCTGATTCAGCCAAGCATTTCTCAGCTGTATCTGCGAACTTCTTCAGGCATTCAGTGGTGATTTCTCCCTTGACGTGAGGATCAGTGATGTCCTCAATAATTCCTTTTCTTTGACAATGAAGAGCCCAGTCAGCGAGACTAACTTGTTCCTTTGGTAGGTTCGGATTGAGGGCAGGCCTTCCACATAGAGCCTCGAAAAGGACAACTCCAAACGAGTAGACGTCAGACTTTTCAGTTAGTTGTTGCCTCCTGAAGTATTCAGGATCCAAGTAGCCGAAGCTGCCCTTGACCACAGTACTAACATGGCCCTTATCCATGTCAGGACCGGTTTTTGAGAGCCCGAAATCTGAAACCTTGGCAACCCAATTCTCGTCCAACAGAATATTTGTGCTCTTGACATCCCTGTGAATGATTGTGTACTTAGCCCCAGTGTGAAGGTAGTGAAGTCCCCTTGCTGCTCCAACACAAACCTCCAACCTTTGCTTCCATGACAGACGAGGTTTCTTGGTATTGTAAAGATGCTCCCTCATAGTCCCAAGTGCCATGTAGTCATAAACCAGGCACATCTCACCATCTTCATCGCAGAAACCAATCAACGAGACCAAATGCTTGTGTCTCAACTTCGAAAGCATCTCAATCTCAGTCATGAACTCATTAACTCCCTGTTCTGATTGCGGATTTGATCTTTTGATGGCCACTTTGGTTGTTTGATCAATAACACCTTGGTACACTTTCCCGAAGCCTCCAACACCAATGACATTAGAATCATCAAAATTTTTGGTTGCCCTTAGTATCTCTGGAAGCGTGAAATGGCGACAAAGACCTTGAGCCAGTGATGAGATGTGACCGCTTTGAGTACTCTTGCCAGAGATAGTTGATTTGGTACCAGTATGGGAGTTTCCATAGACTGGTAGCCAGCTAGATGTATGTGAATCAAAGCCAGGAATTATCTTCTTCCTTCTATAAGCAGCAATGCAAGCCGCAGCAACAAAAAAGAAGCCAACTCCACCAGCAGTTCCTACAATCGTTAGTGTTTTGTGATCTTTCTGAAATTTCTTGTTGCTAGCTTTAGCCATATGTTGAGCTTGCATCTCCGATAACGCAGGGTTAGGTCCTGCCAAGTTATTGTTCCTATCACTCATCTTGAATACCTCGATTCCATTGATTGTTGCATCATAAAACTCAGGCTTCGAATAGGTTGCTGGGTGCAAGTCCACCCGAATCTCTTCATCGCCTAGCCTGTCCTTCACAAAAACTGCATAGTCTTTATATGTTGGCACTCCAATTTCTCCTGTCCACCCGATAATATCAGCTGCATTAGGCTCAACCTGGGCAGTTTGATTGTTGATGTATATGTTGAAGACTTTCTGATTGACTTTAGTTAATTGGAACTCGCAGAAATGCAGCCTCACAACATACGTGAAATTGGCATCAGCCTGAAACAGCCATGTCAAGTTGAAAGCCAAGTTGAGGTCCTTGTGATATCCCATACCTCTTGCCGTTCTGTAAACATCAGGAGGAGCTACAGATTCTGTCAATTCTCCGTACTGGACTTTAAAACTTTCATTAGTCTGCAAATTAACCCCAGTTGCCGCACCAAATAAATAAGGCGCGTCATTATACCACGTTCTTGTAAGATTACCGGAGTCTTTAGTGGGTGAAATATACTGCCCTGCTACATTCAATCTATACATTGTCTCCAAATTTGCACTCACCGCGTCAAAATTTTGGTCAGCAAACCCCACCATTGTCCCTGAACCAAAGAGGTCAGTCATTGGAACCAGCTCTATGGCATTGATAAAAGCAAAAGCATCAGGCCTATCTGCTGGCTTAAAGGTGACATTGAGAATCTGATGATTCATGGGAGCTAGAGAATACTCTTTGATGAGGTAAGCCTGGGTGAGAGCCTGAGCTGTGATCGAAGCGCTGAAATTGTTCAGGAGAGTAACCCCTCCTGCGACCATAGAGAAATAGGAGTTTGCGATATTGAGACCAGAATACTCTGAAGGATAGAAATAGAGCCTGAGCCAATAGCGCGTTTTCAACATGATGGGGAGGTTATAGGTTACTTCGGATCTGAATATCCTGGCATCCATGTATGGAACCTCAGAGACAATTGAAGAGTCTTGGTATTGAGCTCTGGCGTGTGGATAATTTCCAGCAATGTATTTGACATCTGATTCCCATTTTCGCCCATCACCATCAGTGCCACCACTTTCTGATCCACAGTTCAAAGACAAACTCCGTGGCTGTGACCCTATACCTGACACATAAAAGGCATTGAAAACAAGAGCAAAACAAGCTAGAGAAAGCAAAGCATGGATATTAGTATGCATGGCTAAAGAGAAATGGACAGGGAGGGAATGCAAAAGGGCGTACAGGAAAGGAAAACCGAAATTTTCCTGTACGCCGGGACTACTTGATTATCTTTTATGGAGGGTTAACCAGCCTAAGCCATCTTTAATCTTCCAGGAAGACTCATGCCTGGACCAAATCAGGGTATCAAACCAAGCAAAAAGAGGTGATGAAACTTTCCCTGTTTTTTTATTGAGCAAGTTTTGTTTGGCTAAACACCCATTGTTGGGAACTGGCAGGTAGTTGGAAATTGATGAAAGGGAGCAAGAATCGTAAATCCTATTGCTTTGATTGGCTCTAGGGCTTGGAAGGGTAAAAAACATGCTAAATTTAGCATTTGTTTCCTTCAGTTGTCAATGGCCTAATGAAGTTCTTGGACAGTTGTTACAGGTTGTCAAAAGAGCCACTGAAATTGAATAAAAATAACTGGCTTGACTAGCTGATAAGTCCTCAGATTTTCATGCCGCATAAGAACCTGCTGGATTGCCAAAAAAGCGTGTCGGTGCAGATATATTACAAAACTCTAGCCTTCCGGCAGGTCTCAAGATTTAAAAACATAGCACAGCAAGAAGATATGTTCCAAATTAAAGAGCTCTCGATCTAATTAATATGAATTAACGTCTTCCACATTGCACAGGTGAAGTGCAATGCTAGTGCAGCTGACTATGTCTTGTGCTTAAATTTATGAAGCATGGAAATGGATGTACACGACTCTAACTCATAATTTTTGTCATTGCAAGGGTTGATAACTAGACGAAAATCTTTTTTTATTTTTATTTTTTATGATATACTCTTGCAGTTAAATCAACAAGCAAGCTTGCTTCTACCGGATTTGACAGTGCCGCCGATAGAGAGGAGCTTCTAACCGGAGCAGGTGGAACATGGCCTGATATGTTCCTCAGCACCTGGGAGTCCGGTAACTCCATCATCAAAGCCCTCCAATGCTGTGAAAGAAATGATGCAAGGCAGTGTGTTGGGCTGTGGCAAGTCTACTGATAATTAGCCATCCTTAATTGCTTTGTGTCGCTTAATCCCAGTTCATTACCGAGAGAAATTCGTTATCCAAAAATTCAATTTTATATCCTCCGAATTTATATAAATTTTAACCCCTTTTCACCCCATCACTTCTTAAATCTAAAGGACATGAAAATGACTTGTAAATCTTTTAATGCAACTGAAGGTCAAAGGTAAGATTTATCTTATTTAAACCTTTAATTTTTTTTTTAATTTTTTTTATTTTTTTTTTGTAAATCTTTAATTTCTATTTACTAACAGAAAATCTGGTTACCATCGGTTCATTCTAATTATTTACATGAATAATTCCATGAATACAAAAAAAAAAATCTTTTAATAAAACAAAATTAAAAATTTTTATTATTGAGAATGCTTGTAGTGATTAATTATTGAAATGGAGGTATCTTATTCAACATTTCAGTATCAACATTTAGGATAAGTTACAATGGAAAAACAGTTTTGTGAAGATGGATAGAGAAATTTAAGATCTTCTTTTTGCAAAAATTACCATTAAAGAGAAATTCAAAAGCAGGCATCTTGGTTGATAGTTTAGACAATGAAATTCAATTTGTTGAAGGTGACTATAATCTACAAAATAGAAAGAACATTATTACTATTAAGAAGAACTAATTGAAAAGTAGAAATATCATTGTTACTCTCCTCACAGAAGCTTTATAACAATTTTTTTTAATTTTTTTTAATATTAGATTTAGTGTGGATGAATTTTTGTAACTTATTTCAATTTATTTTTTATGAGATTATCTAGGTCTTACGATATGTATCGTGGGTTTTACAAGTTAAATTGGTTGACTCAAGGGTTTTTTAGTTCTTTTTTTTGTAATTATTTTTTTTTATTTTATCATTCAATAGTTGAGTTGATTTACAATTAAATTTTATAATTTATTTCTATTTATTTTCTATAAAGTTAACATAGTTTCATGAACTAAGTTACGGGTTTGACGAGTTTATTCAAGCCTTTTTTTATTTTTTTCCCTTCAATTACATCCTTAAACATTGATTTTTTTTCCTTTCTATTGAGTTATTATGGTCTCATGATCTATATTTAGCAGGTTGACTCGGGTTTTTTTTATTTTTTTAATTGATTTTTTCAATTTTTTTTAATATTAGATTGATTGAGAATTTGGTTTCAATATGATTTTTAATTTGCCTTCTATAAGATTATCACAATCTCATAACCAAGATTATAAATTTAACATGTTAACCTTGGTTAACTTGAGTTAATCTAATATGTTATCATCTTAATATTTTTATAAAAAAAAATATCATCTTGAGATATTTTTTACTCAAATTATGTTTTTTTCATGTTGTCTAGATTACCTTTAGACTTGTCAAGTCAACCGGGTCGCATCATATCAATTACTACAAGGTTTAATTTCTTTTCTTTCTTAAAAAATGTTAAGATATTTGGATATTTTTTAATGTTTTTTTAAATAATTTAACTTACAGCACATCATTAGTAAATAATCTAATAAACAATATAAAAAAATTATAATTTGTGTGTCAATAACATGTATCTAATATGATTAAAGTTATTAAACTTAAATTAATTCATAGTTTGAATCATATGCTTAACTAATTAACCTGAATTGATTAGATCAATTAAAACAATATCATTTTATTTAAAAAAAATCAAAATAATATTATTTTAATTTTAAAAAAATTAAATTGGGTTCATCATGTCATGAGTTAGCCTTTTTAATCAATCTATTTAAGTCAATTCAATTCTAGATTCACCATTATAGTCAATTAGGTCAAGCAAACTTTGGGTTGACTTTTATTTTTTACTCAGCTTTGAATAAAAAGTCAAGTAAGCTATCTTAGATGAACATGTTAGATTTTATTTCTGTGGTAAGGATTAGCCGTTGGTTAATATTAGTGTTGTTAACTACCCAAACTCCAGCTTCTAGAAAAGATGATTTAAAAAAAAAAACTCAGAAAACAAACATCCAATCTAGCTTAATCCGAAATAGGTGGCAGCAATATAGCTTAAATTCCGGAATAAATCCAAAAAAAAAAAAAAAAAAAAATTAGAAGAAGAAGAAGAAGAAGAAGTGTCATATGACAATCTGCATAGAAATGAAAAGGATGTCCATATAACAGAAATCTTATATTCTTCTGTTTGTCATATTAATTTCTCAAAAATAGAAACAAAATGACCAGAATTGGCTATTACCCTTTCCAAATTTAACAAAAAGTCTCCAAATTCATACTTATAAATGAATGGCTGACAAATCCTCCCTACAGAGGCGTTGACAGCCGCATCCCCTGTTCCTCTCCCCTCTCTTCCCCATTAAAGCCTTCTCAATCAATTCCAGCCTGACCTGGTTGGGCTGGTGCCTTTCGTTCGTTGTTGAGAAAGCTTTTCAGAGGTGCCCCTGTCCCTGTCCCTGTCCCACACTGTTCCCATTTTGGTGGCGCGACAGACAGCTTTTCCTGTCGCTGCTACCTCAATCTCTTAGCCCCTATATATGATATAGTTGTTGTGCCTGGACTCCTTCGCTGTCATTTGTAACTTGTAAGATGATCAACGGCAATGAGATTAAGGCTAAAAACCAGACATTGTTATCGTCTTCGTCGTCGTCATTACCATCATTGAACTCCTCAGATTCTGAAGATTTGGAGCGCATGCCATTGGCGCCCCTGATATGGAAGAACAAGAAACGCCTGTCCAAGCAACTTTCAATGTGCGAAACTCGACGTGACAGAGCATGGGAGAGACGTCGCCGCCAGATACTAATGCAGGAGGGGAGAAAAAACAAGCTGCTAGATCCTGATGACCTGACAGATGAAGACTTGAATGAGCTCAAAGGGTGCATAGAGCTTGGATTTGGATTTAAAGAGGAAGAAGGGCAACAATTGACCAATACGATACCAGCACTGGATCTTTATTTTGCCGTTAACCGGCAACTATCGCCAAGCCCCGTGTCCACACCTCATAGTGGAGAATCACCATCATCATCAGCAATGGGCACACGTTCATCTTCGTTTGGAAGCCCTAAGGGCGATCCAGATTGGAAGATATGCAGCCCAGGTAAAGAAAGTCTCCACGACTACATTGCATGTTGTTAATTAGTACTTGACATTGTTGGCTTTTTAATATTTGAATAAGCCTTCTCCTGACATATAACTTTTAATTTCATATACTTGATTCAAAACAAAGAAAGATTCCCTTCTTATATTTGAGTTCAGAATTATATTAACTCGGATTTTTCCAATTCTCTGCATGCAGGTGATGATCCAAAGCAAGTTAAGACTAAGTTAAGGCACTGGGCACAAGCTGTAGCTTGTTCGGTCAGGCAGTCTTATTGATCAAAGTGTGGGATAGATTGTACAGTGAGAGATATATATATAAAAGAGCTAGATCAGACGAAGACATAAATCCAGAGAGAGAGAGGAGAGAGAGAGAGAGAGGGGCTGGCTTAAATTTTCATTAGGGTCTTGATAGAATTTACTACCATTATAGAGGCCAACGAAAACACGAGGAGGCGTTATGGGGTCAATATTTACAAGGTCAATGGAGTAGAAGTTGCCATTGGCTCTTGATAACTTGGTTAGAAATTGATGCATTTGTCTTTTTTTTTTATTTTTCTTCTTTTTTTTTTTACCAGAGTTTCCATGAGTTATTGCAAATTTCATTCTAGTATTATTTGGCCTCTTTTTGCCCTTTTTTTTTTATGTCGAAATCCCCATTGAAGGTAATGTCTTTTGTCGCATTACCTTTAATCATATAATTAGTTCTACATACCTTGATATTTTTTTAGATTGTTCATTGAGTGATATGTGTTCTTCCACCATCAATAAGAATTTCAAGCTCAGAAAATTAAATGAATTTCATTAAAGAGAGTTAGGATTGTTACAGGAGATTGTATACGGTTAGAACAATGGATAAAGTAATAAATTTTAATATTTAAATCAGAACTCAAATATTTAGTTTTTTGTTTTGTTTTACATATAACATTTTTCATTCTTAAATAATGGGGTGAATGTCACATTTTCTCCAGCTATTCTCGATTTCTTGTTAAAAAAAAAAATTGTGTATAAAAGCAGTGGAAAAAAATCAGATAATATATTATATAGTGTTGCTCAATTTCCAGCATCATGATAGCTAGAAAATTAAGGTTTACTTAAGTTCCAGCAACTATGATAGTTAGAAAATTAAGATTTAAAGTTTTTTTTATCTAAAATCTTATTTGTAACCTATTTTTAACCCAAAATAATTAAAAAACATCTTAGAAATCATGATGTATTTATTTATGGTCTTAAAAAAACTAAAATATCATTCTAAAAAACAAAATCAACTTGAAATAAAAAATCAACTCAAGCTTAGATCTTTTTCTTTTTTTTTACGAATCTTAAAGTTAAAAGAAAAATACCTAATATGAATTCTTCTCATCAAATAAAATCATTTAACACAAATATCGATACTTTTGATGGCCTAAATTGATATCAACGATATTTTTCTCTCTCTGTTGCTAGAATCGACGATCTTTCTCTTCTCTCTCAACCAAAGACTAAAGATAACAAAAAAATAAATTTTTGCATCACAATTAAATTAGACAAATATTGAGGTGTCAAAATTATATAATTTGTGTTATTTTTAAAATGTGAAAACCAAAATGCATTTTTCTTAAAATTTCTAGCATACCACTCATGTTTGATATCTTTTTCATTATGATCCTTGGTCTTCCAATTCCACTCTTGAATAAAAAATCAAAAGTATTTGGCTTTTAAATAGGATTAAATTCTCAAAATTAAATTTTAAGTAACAAAATAAATTATAAAAAAATAAATAATGGATCTGTAATATTTTATGTGTGGGTGAATAATGTCACTCTACAGTTAAACTCCCATGCTTTTTAGATTTTTACATAATATTTTTTTAAAAGAAAATTCTATCTAATCTCACCTGCAACATTGCCTTCACATCTATTCATAGAACTAGTATTTTTATTGCATGTGTATCCGGTCGAATAAAATTGTTAAACCTAATTATAAGATAATAAAAAATCAAGAATTTGAATTCCTAGAATGAAATTTGAATCAAATATCATATCTTTTAATGCACATTAAATATTATTAACGA